TTGTTTTTATTGGTTACTACACCTTATGGGTTACTCCACCCTGCACAATTTTTGTGCCATATTACATGAGTCCTATTATTTTAAAAACTGCATAGCAGTGTGTTCCATTGGTATTTCACCTATCATCACATGTGCCCTATAGGTCAGAAGGAAGGTTTGAAGTATAGCATAAGTTCCATATGCAAACAGGCAGACACATATGAACCATAGATAAATATAGGGCACGTGCACTAGTTAAAGCTCAACTTCAGCGTTTTCATTTTGTTTTGGATAGAGTGGGAATAAGTTAAAATTACTGTTCGAATATTATTTCTGTTTGTGGCCCTATTGGAGAAATTGTCTCTCGCCTCCTGTGCCCATGACACCCATAAAGGAAAGAGAAGGTGTGTTTGTCACTAGGACAGGAAGGCACAGGGAGCCATACAAACATTGGCAGAAGTGTTAACCCTTTCTCAGGGTTAGGCACTATGATTAGGAGAGTGGATGGGGTCAGGCATGCTAATTAAAGTGTTTTTGTATTTGTGCTCTACAGTAGACATATACAAACAGCAATAAAAAAATTGGCGGAAGTTTTAACCCCTCCCATCTCTATCTAAATCTAACAAAAAAAAAAGATGGAGTTTGGTTTGGTGGGTGTTTCAGACATCACAAAGGCTGTCAGTGCTGCGGAAGGCCATTAGCAGAGGACTGGAAAACACCCACCAGCACCTCCATAAATGCAGTGTGATGATCACAACAAGCATATACTGAATTCACACCATGCTGTGCAAGACTACACAAAATATGTGTGGAAATAAATCCACTTAGTCACGCTAGTTAAAATTTAACAGTTTATTGCTCAAAAACGTTTAGGATTTAAACATCACCATGTACTTACTGGTTTAGACCAGAATAAAATACAGACATTTCAAAACATGAAAGTGATATATCTTGGTAAGGATCGAAAAAATGTTATTACCAAGAAAACAAATGTTGTATATTACTGAGAAAATTATGACATTTTTGTTATTACCATAAAAGCTTTCTTCTGTGTTCATTGCAGCAGTAGAATTAATGATAGAAGTCACCAGCACTCAATATTGTGTGAGAAGCATAAGCACAATAGTGCTATGTCACCCTGAAAAAGGGACCCTGCATGACCCTGAAACGTAGGCTTGATGACGCATGTGATGGATTAATAAAAGTGCTTATGCTTCTCGCACAATATTGAGCTGGTGACAATATTGCTGGTGACTTCTATCATTAATAATGCTGTGACACTGCACCATTCGCGTTGTCACTTCTAGCCCCAACTTCGGTATTGAAGGTCTGTACGCTATATGGAGTGCAGGTGATTCTCTAACGCTGCAATGCAGCAGTAGGACATAAGGAGCAGCCCATGCTGGTGTCCAGCCCCACCTTTCTGCTATAGACCTCTCAGTTACCCTCCAAGCATTGCATAGAGAACAACTTGTCAGACAGAAAATGATTTAACACACACAGAAAAAAAATCAAATTTCCTCTTGCATTCATTAAGGGACACAGCTGAGATCTAAAGATCTTGACCATTGGGATGTCTTAAAGCAGTGTCTACATATGGGCAGGACATAACTAAATAACTCCCCTCAGGTAGGAACATTAGACTGCCACCTGTAAGACCTCCCCCATGTACGAGTTACCCTGCCTTACGTGTATGCAAGCTTGCCTTCTATATGGGATAAATGACCCTGGGGTCCCTTAGGCCTCCTCTATGGAGCTCAGAGAGGGTAGAGATGCCTTTGAAGCAATAGATACCTACAAGTAAGAGGCAGGGCCCAAAAGAGACACAGTGGAGAATTGTCAGTCTGTATCAGAGGAGTGTCCAGTCGCCCTAGCTGCCTCAGGTATCAAACACAGATGCACAAAGTGCTGCAAGAACCAGAGATGCAGATGGGGCTCTGCAGACATACCTCACCTTGGGTTCATTATGTGCGCTGCAGGAGCTGAGGCCACCCTGTACAGCAACAGTGGAAGAGTGCCAGACATGATTTCACAAGTCAGCACCTGTCCATTAACATCATGGCTGCTGACACTTGCTCATTGATATCATGATTGCCAGGGGCACTCTCTGCTCAGCGGGAGACTGTGACAAATCAACTGGGGTGATTGGTCATATCCCCCCCATTACAAAAACTCCCAGGCTGCCCAAATACAGGATAGGGTTGTCACAGCTGAACCTGCACACAAGGCAGGGAACTGCATGTGCTTGCTGAGTGAGCTGGGGGTACTCCAAGGATCTAGATTATTAAGCTTGCCACCCAGTGAGCAATTGAGAAAAAACCTTAAAGACTGAAGGAAAAAATAAAAAGAAGAATTCCTTGCAAAAAGAATGGGAACTAAGATGGGGAGCTTAGGTCCTTACTCTATGACACTGGGCAAAAATGCTGAGCTGTCTCTAGCAATTGGAGTTTTTGATCACCAGCAGCAGCTTTTGTTTTTGTGGCTAATGTCCTACTTCTGAAGGTGGACCTATAAACCAACAATCAAGATCTCTTAGATCTCATCTGTGTCCTTTAATGAACTGAAGAGAAAAAGCTGAGTTTAATGTATTTTTTTTGTATTATTTTGAATTTTTTTAGGAAATAAAATGAATAGACTGTAACATTCCGAAAAAATGTATATGCCATTTTATGCAAGTCTTGCACCAGCCGTCACAAGCTGCCTTTACACAATCCAGTATATTTCAGCCATGCGTGAGAACAAACTGTAGACAGTATTTTACAAATGCTTTCCTGTTAACTTGAAAATGTAATTATTTAATATGGTAAAGTCTGTGAGTGTTAATTTACAATTTAAAATTCAAGAACTGTACAAACAACATTATTTATTAAATGTCAGCACGAGAAATGGTTAAGGTTTTGTTTAAAATGTTTCAAGTTAATGCTTTGCTTACAAGCAACATTATTTTCACAGTTATTGTAATTATAGAAGAAATAGTGATCAAGAAGCTATACACACGGGTGCGTTTTCAGAGATGTAGCTTAACTCCTGCTTGAAACTCCTAGCAATAATGCTAATTAACATGTACATTACAGCCCGCATTTACCTCTGTGGTGTACTGTATTTATCCAGTGGGCAGAACTGCAGCACACATCAGCGGTCATAACATTTCAAAGTGGTTTTCTTATTCAGAGCCTGTGTTACTGTGTCTTTGCAGGTCAATGGGAATGCAAAAGCAATACACAAGGCTGTAAAAGGTGTCTGAAATCATACAGCCATACACACGGTAATGTCAATATGAACTGAGACGCATAGTATGTACAGTTATTTTACACCTGTACTGCCTACACATTGTTGATGTTTACATTTGCCCCTCAACAAGTCATTCACACAATGGCGGCACACGCGCTAATTTACTTTGGCCTTCAGTCATTCTGAATGACTGAAGGCCAAGGTCTATTTGCACCTGCACTTGCATGACTTTTTCAGGGGGAGATGTAACCATTAACAATGCGTAGACAGCAGTGAAGGTGCAGAATGAGCTTAGCCTTGAGTCAAAATGTCCATTTACGCTATATTCATGTAAACGCTTGCACAAATATTTACATGAATACAGTATAATATACAGTTGGAATTGCAGACACACATTTTTCTTGTTCTGGTGTATGTAGCTAAATGCTACAGACCAAAATTGAGGTGTGTAAACAGGCCCAGAGCATACAGTACTGTAGCTTCAGATCCCTACACAATATGGCTATGAGTGCAGCGTATTGTGCACCTGTGTGCATGAGCCTTTAGTCCCCATTCACATCTAAAAGTTGTGTTTCATATTTCCTGAAGCGTGAGACCGCTCAGCATGAAGAATCCTTACCAAACAACCATCTCCTCCTCCTAGTAAATAGCTTTCCATTGGCTAAAGCAAATATTGCTCAAGCCTGAAAATGTGCACAAAACCACATGCAAAATAAACTTGAAAATGCTCACCCTCCATTGTGAATGGGAGTTAAAAGAGTCTCAAACTGATTTCAAATGCAAGTGGAATGTAATTGGAAACAAGCTACACTTGCCTATTGACACAGGTCCAAAGCCTGTTGACACAGACCCTAAAGCTCATTCATGCAGTGCGTGTATTTCAACCTGCTAAACATGGTCTGCTCTGTATGTTTTAGTACACATTAGTGCTATGAACTCAAAGCAAGTGTCATCAACAGCATCTAGCACCGCAGCAGCAGTAAAAGAAGATGCCATACAGTAGCTGCTTTTTATGACATGCAAGTAGACATGGGCACATTTTTTTTCCATGACTAAACCTGAAAGCAGATCATTCAACACTGAACAAACTGATTCTTTTGTTCTAGGCTTGTAGCATGTTGACATTATTTATAAGCTTATCATTTTCTGTTAATTGTATACTTGGAACTGGTTATATCTGATAGATTTTGAGAAGCTGTTGAAGAAAGTTACCCAATGGCAGCTTCTATCTTCATATAAAGAAGGCAAAGACAATTGAGTAAACATTTTCCACACATTACTAGCATCATTTAACCTTAACTTATTTACAAATATTTTATGTTTTGTTTTTATTGTTGAACTTGTATACACATGTATGAATTAGTCAACGCCTTTCAAAAGGTAGGAATATAATTTTTTAAAGCTTGGTAGCTGCTATGAGGCCCAGAGGAAAAGGAAACACAAGTGTCAACATTTTAATTTTCTGAGAAGCTACCTATCACATTGGCAGGCATTGTCTTCCTAACAAACCCAAATGAAGAGCATATCTGATACACTAAAAATATAGTTTTTAGGAGCCCATAGCCTTGTGGTCCTAACTGGCAAAATACCCACCTTAAATGTACTTTATTAGATCACATTGGTATACACATGCTCTCCATCCCTGAACCCTACCATAGCTAAATGTGTGAATTAATCTTGTTTTCAAGCCCTTTCCAAAATACCATTTCAGAAAAACATATACCTTTTCAACAGTTGTCTGTTCACAGATGTAACTGTACCTGCTCTGTCAATTTATATTTTAATATATCTCCAAGCTGAAACAACATAGTAAAAATATGCACATTTGAGTGAATTCTGTCAGCTACTAATAAATATCGCAAAGTGTTTGGAGCAAAATTTGCAACTTTGCAGAAAATTGCAAATTACCCTAGAAAAATGTTATGCTCGTTCCTATACATATTTCAAGTATAAAAATCTCCTGTTGTGTAAAGAAATAAAATTAAAATGTTTGATAGCATTTTAATTTACACAGCAGTTTAATGCATATAAAATAATACAAAAATTGTATACAAACATGATCACATAACTTTGACGATTCAAGAAGATGGTAGTTTTTAGTGCACCATATACCATAACAGGAGAAAATTGCATTATGGCATAAACATGGGATGTTGAAGTTGACACTACAATAGAATAAAAGAAATATCAGGGCAAGCTACATCACTTCCTTGAACAAAATTGTACAAAACATCTAGCTAACTAGATAGAACATAATACTGATAGTCACAGTTTAACATTGAGCAACTGTGGTTCTTGTTGTTCTTGCACTAATGTAGTATAAAAACAGTTCTTTATATATCCATTAAAGATTTCAGGTGACTTCAGTCATCGATGAAGAGTGATTCTGTGAAAAAAGGACACATAAAAATAATCATTAAGGCAGCTAGAGACTATAATCCAAAGAATTGTGTTAAAAAGTACATATTGTTAGGCAACGAGGAATACTGTTGAAAGAAATCCTACATGTAGATTACTGATTTGCAAATAAGACAGTAGACAATAGCATCCAATTAGAATTTAGTTTATTAAAGTCTTGTTAGTCAACAGTTGGCTGCTATGGCATACTGCTACATTAGCCATTTACCTCAATATAAGCCCATAGGTCTGCCAAAAGTGATATTTCCGCTTCTGGTGGAAACCAGTAAGTTTGTATACCTAAGGACTTGTACATTCATGTGAGCTGGCATTCTTTGAACCCTATAAAGTAATTATATTAATCTTGAGGCAGTCATATTTCCCATGGTGTATGTTTTCCTTTGAATATCTCCCCAAAAGATATAACAAGGCAGCAAGAAATTGCCTTTAAATTATTTGCTTCCTAATTTCTTACACAGATTTATGCAAATGCATAGATCCAAGCTGACTGAAATGAGAAAGAGAGACACCTTTTAGTAGAAAGTATTTTAGGAAAGGACATGCCCCAACCATTCTGGCCAGTTACACTGACCATAAAGAATTAATACACACAAATTGATGGGTAAACCCACAAGGTTTAGTGTAGTATAATATCTTTGTTAGTTAAATAAGGCATTTTTTTAGCTTGCCATAGAGTTTACAGTCCAACCATACAATCTTTGTACAATTACATTTAGATTTACAATAAAACAGGCCTTGAGATTGTGCAGTCAGATTGCAACATGTGTGATGACCCATATATATGTCTATATACATGAGACCAAAACGAGGGACTGAGGAGGGAAAAAGGGACAGAAGGATTTGGTTCCATAAGAGGGACAAGCAGACGCTAGGCAAATATTTTCATGAGCTTACACAGGCAGTATAAGTTTGAAGCACAGCTCATGAGTGAGTGGGGGTGGCATCTTAAAAGTAAACGGGTACATTTGGGGGTCCTGGGAGGTTTGCCATAAGAAGCAACCTAAACCTACCCTGCAAAGGATGAATATGAGAACTGTTCCCTAAAGTTGCAACCATGGTGGATGGGACTTGTTCCTTTTGAAAAATAAGGCAAAACATAATTATAATAATAAGTATTATAATAATAAGTATTTAAAAATAACACTCTAACTTTCTATAAAAGACTACATGTACTAGCATAATGTGAAACTGTTTTAGTAAGACAAACTTTCCTGTTATTTATGCTTACCTTCATGCTTACAAAATCGTAAGACACTTAGCTCATGCACTAACTACCTTTAGTTGCAAATCTGTGAGTTCATAGTCCTGTATGTTTTAAGCCACCTCTTCCTAGTATGTGACTGCATTACTGTCACATAAACCAATAAACTGACCAACTTCAGGAAGAACTTGATAAACACTGGATTTTATACAAAAGTATGTACTTTAATGAAGTTGAAAACACTCTTAGGGCTCATGCACAGGGCCATAAAACATACTGCATTCAGATCCACACTGTGTAGTTTTATAGGGATCTGAAGACAGCAGTATTTTATGTTATTAGCCCATGTATTAGTGCATGTAATATTTTCAAGACAAACATTTTTTTTGCACTGATCTTATTGTCTATACAATATATAGACAAAACAAAGCATAACCTAACAATAATATTTTCTAGTTTGACAAGCGTAAATTGAAAATAAAAGTATTACCATAGATAAAAAGTATACATTTTATTGTATAATTTCTCCCAATAATAATGACAATATAATAAAGCTTCTGGTGCAAAGCATTTTGTTGTAATTTACAAATGAGTAAAATGTTTCTAATCCAATTTTGTGCAATGGTTTAATGTGACACTAAAGAAGTTAATAAACAAAATTAATGGAAATGTAAAAAAGTTTTTAAAAAATCAGCAGAAAATGAGGGGACGGAGGCATTAATTAGATCTAATTATAGTTAGCTAAGGGTTAATAAGGGGTTAAATAGAAACACATTTAATTAAAAAAAAAACTTGTTCAATTACTGTAATGGACATCACTTGCAGATCATAGGTCGCCCCTTTGATCTGCATCTGAATAAAACAGAGTAAATGCAGCAATAATGTTGTTACTTTATTGAAAGATACAAAGTATCAGAATAATGTTCTGAAAATTAATTTTACACAACAGTGGCTACAGCCAAGTCTAAGATGTCTGTTCTGGTGATAGCAGCCAGGGAGCGCCAGCAGGTGGAAAGGAGCAGAGCAAATGATGTATGCCCAAAGTACTTTGTTAGAAATTTTAGTGCATATGCTGTATGCCCAAAGTCTACAACTGGTTAATTATACATGTGTGCTTGTCCCTGGAGCCTATTAAAAAATACCAATATGATAGGTTACCTTTACTGAGATAAATCCTGTTTCCAGCAGCATAGCCTGGCCCTGTGTCTGCTTCCATCTTTGCTGTAAGCAAGCATTTTCTACATATTAAGGGGTACTAACAATAAACATATGCAACAAAAGGGCACATGAAGGAATGTGACACAGACTAGTGGGGGGGTCATTGATAAATTCTGGTTGTTTATAAAATGTTACATAATTTTAAAAAGGTGAAAAACATTGCATTATACTGCAAAATATTAAATACTCTATTTAATTGACTACCCGTTAGGAATAGGAATTCACATACTATAAACCTGTGGCTTGTAATAATTCTTCTCTACCAACAGATGGAACCCTTGTTACTCTTTTTGTAGGATGCTTTACTAGTATAGCAATGGTAAAAGTAATATTGTTCTTGACAAATTAGAGTGTATAATGATTCATTTTCATTCTCATTGATGCAGTGTAGCATACTGCACATAATCTGCAAATATTTACAGCATTTGTAACATAAAGGAATTTTAGCTGTGTATTATAGCAGTAGTAGGATAGCGGGTAGTGAGGCAGTGCCTCTGTAAATTTACATCAGTTCTAGTGATTTTACAGGAGAAAACTGCATATAACAAATGTGCATTTACCCAAAATATAGTATTTCCTGCCTTCAAGTTCCCTGAGAATGTTAAAATAAATAGTAAATTTCTACTTCTAAGTCACGGTAAACCCAGTTCTTATTAATTACAATTAGTTGCAAAGTTTTATATTAAGATGCCCAACAAGTGTTTTAACTGTATAATAGTAATTATTATTATTTTATTATTATTATTA